GGCTTGATTGGAGCTCGCCCGGCCAATGTCCCCCGTACAAACCTAAACCCTAAACCCTAAACCCCTGATCCCTAAACCCGAAACCCCTAAACCTCTATCCTTAGCAAGGCGGCTGGATCTCCCACGGTGCCTCCGGGGCAACCTTGCTCCTGTCGAAGCCAGAGACTCCAATATCCCGTAATTAAAGGTATATACCTTAAATTATAGTAGGACCCTTAATATGATTTAAGGCATATCCCTTAATTAAGGTATATACCTTAAATTATAGTAGGATCCTTAATATGATTTAAGGCATATCCCTTAATTAAGGTATAGACCTTAAATTATAGTAGGATCCTTAATATGATTTGAGGTATATTCCCCTTAATTAAGGGATATTGGAGTCTCTGTCTGGGAAGCTTGAAGGCCGCTACTTCCACTTCTACTACTGTTTTGTATAAAAAGAAGCCTGCCCGAGGGCCTGCATGAACATGCAAGTATACGTCTGACGGTGGGGAAGTCCTGCGATCAAAGCGCAAACTAGCCCCGAATTCTATGTTCTACCTATAGTCTCCATTGTAGTTCCTTTTTGGGGATACCTTATAAACTCGTTAATATATTTTTGGTTAAACCAAAAAAAGGGACTACAATGGAGACTATAGGTATACCTACCGGCTTCAAGAACTCTTCCACCCTTCTTGGCCTCACCGCACCTTCCCACCAACTTTTTGCTTCGCCTCAGGCTCCAGCAGGCCGAAAATGAAACATCACAGGTATCCAATGAAAGGCGAGACAGGATACATATGACAATGCCATATAGCCTTTTAGCGAAGCAAAAGAAAGGTATGAATTGGCAGCAGGCCAAAAGCGGACCTGCAAAAGGCTTGCTGAACTGTAGGAGCAGTGTTTTGGATTTTGTACGTGCCTCCTACTGGAGCACACGAAGATAGGATGTGATGTGCAGGTCTTACCTGAACTTGGCACAAGGTCCAGGGGAGTCCTCATTTCAGATTCCCGCCTGAATCCCTCACGTGTGAGTTTAGCTTGTTTTGTCCAACATGGGGGTTTCTGAAAATAGCCGACCCTAATATAGTATCCCAAATAATAGGATCCTTATTATAAGGGCCCCAAAATAAGGTACCCCCAATTTTCGGAAACTCCCACATAACCTCACTGGCCCAAAACTCAAGGAAATAAAAGTTGAAACTTTCAGANNAACTTTCAGAATCGACTACCTTATAAGAATCCCAAAAGTTGAAAAGTTGAGTTTACAGCCAATAAGTAACTGCATAGTTTTGCAGGCTCTGAAGGGAGTGAAGATGAGTTAACGTGCATGGGTGCATGCCCATCATGACCCTGAGGGGAATGGGGCTTCTCCTGGTCGAAAGCACCGATGTTGCAACAGAAAGCCCCAAACCCCAAAACCCGAAGCCCTCTTTCGTTCTGCACTTCATCCGCTAATGATTCGCTTCTGGACCGTGACACGACTGCATGCCTAAACCAGAAGCCTCAAACCCTAAAGGGCCTTTTTACAGCCTTAAACTTTAGCCTTGCCAGAAGAGCCCAGGTGCTGAAATCTCGTAGTGCCCGAATGAGCTTCCACTGAATGGTCAGCGGCGAGCTGTTCTTGGCGAAGAGAGTGGCATTGTTTACTTTCTTGGGGTCTGAAGCTTCTTGCCGCTTGGTTTCGGTTTTAAGTTCCTGGGCCTTCGGGCTTAGGGCTTAGGGGTTTAGGGGGGTTAGGGCGTGCGTGCATGCATCTTTGTACGCCTGCTGTCTACTTTTGTACGTGTTCACTGCGTGGCTCAAAGAGACGTTGTTATATTCTCACGGCATGTAGTGTGGTACCTCGATAGAGGGAGTCATATAGATCGGCCGTTCCAAAGGCAAGCGGGGTTCCTCAATTCTGCGATAATGCAAACTTTGCCGGATCTCAACGCCTCCAGGATCAGCAATACCAACACAAACTACAGGGCAACTAGCTAAAAAGTTTAGACCCAATAGAAAAACAAATTTCTGATAGCTATGAGAAGAGGCGCCATCATACAGAGTTCTAGCAGCATCGCCACTGGCCAAAATGACGGCACTAAGCCTACTGCACCTTTCATGCAAAGCCGGGGAACGGATCCGCCCCCCAACTCGGGGTAGATGCCCACTTCCTTAGCTCACGGCTTAGGGTTTAAGGTTTAGGGGTGTCAGGTTTAGGGTTTACAGTAGGACGCAGGGTCGGCTGTCGAGTCTGGGTTCAGGCTTTCACGACGGTTCATGGTGAGCGTTCAGGGTCAGAGAAAGGGTTTAAGGTTGAGGCTTAACCCCGACACGGGATTCAGGGGTTGCAGGGTGCCCTAAACACTAAACCCCTTTTTTTGTTGAACCCAGGAACCCTAAACCCCTAAACCCTAAACCCGGGGTTGCCTGGCAGTCACGGACCCTAGGATTCAGGATCGGACGAGTTACATGGCTGACACGGCGGATCTCGAATCCTCGCATCTAGGCTCTTTTTTGAACTGTACCTATAGTCTCCATTGTGGTTCCTTTTTAGGGTTTAGGGTTTAGGATCTAAGCTCTTATGAACTTTACCTATAGTCTCCATTGTAGTTCCTTTTAAGGGCTTAGGGTTTAGGGGTTTAGGGTTTAGGATCTAGGCTCTTATGAACTTTACCTATAGTCTCCATTGTAGTTCCTTTTAATCCTACAAGGTAATCCCATAAAAGGAACTACTATGGGGCCTATGGGAGGTTTGTAGAACACACTTGCGCAACCTGAAATGCAGCCTCTAAGCGAATCAGGATCACAAACAAGCGAGCCGTCAAGTCCTAGGCCAGCACACATGACTTCGTTGAACGCCCGGTTGGGTTTTAGCTCTCTTAATTCCTAAGACATCAAGATTCATGCCCCGAAGAAGTTCAAGACCATTCAGAATAAAGATGCAAAAATCTACAGCCACAGCCCCTAAAAGCAAAGCGGCTTGCTCGTGGAGAAAGTTCCAAAGGCCCTCCTCTGCAAAGCCAAGGCTCCCGAATGACGTCATCTCCAGAGTTTGATAACAACGACGAGAATACTACAATTTAAATTTAGGGTTTCGACGCTCACTCTCGCACACAGCAGGCAAGTCTCCACATTTAGGGTTTCGGACTTAGAGTTACTACCATTAAACACAAAGTGTGCCACCAAAATCGTCGTGGCTAGCCATGGCAGTTAGCAAGTATGCAGTTGCTTAGCTGACAACCCGTAGAAAGGACACTGGCACTGGCAAGAGTAGCTAGGAAGCGGTAGGACGTGCGAAGTATAAGCAATGGAAGTTCTCCACCACAGCAATAGCAGAGCCACTCTGTGTTTGGCGGCGTGTGTGTGTGTGTGTGTGTTCGCGCGCGCAAGTGTGTGCGCTTGTGTGCATTACATAATGATCGGCATCGTATACACTACTTCGCCCTCAGCCAAACGAAGTGTGGTTCTCCTCCTCCCCACCGATGCGCTGCACAGTATCGGCAGATGTCAGCTCGGCAGCAGACAAGCCTCGAAACTGTGAAGAGCTCTGTTACTACACTCTTTGAGAAGGGAACCCACTGCTAGCAGCCATCGTAAGCATGAAGAGGGTGGTGCCGAAGATAGCTAGCATGATTACTGCAATGTTACCTGGCATTTGCTGACTATCCCTGCATCCTAACTTTTAGGGCACCCCCCTCCCCTCGACGTTGGCGAACTGGGCAGGGTCCGAGTCAGCAAGAAATGCTCAGAAAAAACAACAGAGGCAGAATAAGGAAGCAGACCGGACGAAAGTCGAAAGTCATCCACAGCACACTCGCTCTCAGCAAACCTGCGAGCTAATATCGGAGACAACCCTGCCCGAACCGGCAAGCACCAAGGAAGCGCCATGCGACATTAGCACCTCTAACACAACAGCATTCTCTAAAGAATGTAGTGTAAGCTTGTCCGACAGTGGTCACGCTGTTTTTTGCCAGCGATACGCGAGGTCAGTTCAACACTCAGTCCGGCGGAAATTTGCATACACCTACTTCTTGGCGCAAGAGCAGGTACTGCGTGGTCGCTCCTGTTTCATGTTTCCCACATGAACCTTCAGGCTTCCTGAATGGAGCTTCCCAGTCTCTGATCGCGGTCGCTGTTAGAGAGAGAGAGAGAGAGAGAGAGAGAGTGTGTGTGAGAAGCCAGACACCATCCAAAAAATAAAGCAGCACACCAAAGTCCGCCAGAAATCAACTCTCTCTCTCCTCAGGCTGAGTCATCGTTGTTCGATCAGTTTAATGCGTGAGGCAGGCATCGCAAGATGTCAACCCCAGCATTGCTTTCTGGCCCCATCGAACTGTGGATGGGAACTCTGCATAATCCTCAAGCAGGCTTCGCAGTGTCCTGCAGCTTGCTCGTTCCGCTCCGCGAAGTCGTTGATTTCGTGCTGCTTCGCTTCGACCTCCTCTTTGAGGTTGAGGTTGTCGGCTCCACACTATCTTTGCCACCCCATTTACGCCTGTGGACTCCACATGCGTAAATGGGGTTGCAAAGCAGCCTTCCGACGACAATACACTGCTCGTTGTTCTTCGCTGTGGTTCTTGTTC